TCAGATACATAACCATATATAGTCTTTATCCTTGCCCCACCTTAACATTTAGACTTTCATAGAATAGACTCTTTTGTCCGCCCCTCGTTCTACGAAACCGCACCACAATATTCTCAGCCTGTCTTGTTTGTCTGTTACTCACATCACCTACAATTTCTATTTTGTTACCTAATTGTCTAGGCATTATTCCTCTTATTATTTTAAAAATAAAAATACATACATTATATAATAATCTCTGTTTTATATTCATAAACTGGAGTGCTTGCAGCATCAGGTCTACCTTGGTACGTCGATCACATTGAAGTATAACCCTCATAGCTCGATTTTGCGCAACTTGTAGCCTATTCAGTAATGTGTCACCCATACCAATTAATAACGTTGCACAATACTCAAAGTGAGGTGCTATGATAGACTTATACACAGTACATCGAGTGTACGCCGATATATCATTTCCTATTCTATTCAGAAAACTCACTTTTTTCCCTATTTTCTTTAACATATAATCACAGTGATTCTCCCAACGAAGTTTACTATCGATCATTACACCCAGATGTTTCGTTATCTCGACACGCTCAATTATAGTTCCATTCAAACTTTTTACTATTATGTCTGTTTTTATTTCTTTCCTTATACTTCTAACTATCATATATTTGGTCTTATCTGCATTCATTTTTAACATATTCACATTCATCCATTCTTCAAGTATACCGAGCACCATATTTAGTTTTATTTCTATTTCCTCACAATTTTTTCCTGTTACACTTGCGGTCGTGTCATCTACAAATAATCTAAATATACTTCCCTCCGGACAGACCTTAACTATATCATTTATATACAAAATAAACAATAGAGGTCCTAATACTGATCCCTGTGGCACGCCATATACTGTCTCAATTATTTTAGAACACATATCATTGAATCTAACTTGCTGCTTTCTATTACTTAAATATGATATTATCCATTCCAGTACCACTCCTCTTATTCCATACTGATATAATTTTTCCACTAATCTTACCCTATCTATTGTCTCAAACGCTCTCCTGAGATCCAGGAATAACACTCCCACCATTTTTTTCTCCTCAATTATCAACTTCCATTCTTCGATAAAACTTTGAATTGCTGTCTCACACGACTGCTGTTTCCTAAATCCCGATTGGTATTCGGTTATTATTTCATTGTCATCTAGAAATTTTTCCAACTGTTTTTTTACAACTAACTCTAATACTTTTTCATATATCGGTAACATATTAATCGGTCTATACTCGCTCGCTTTTTTTGGTTTGTTTACCTTTGGTATCGGTATTATCGTGGATGTTTTCCATCCTTCTGGAAATTTACCTGTCCTAAGCGAATCATTTATTACCCCTACAAACTCATCTTTTATCACAGGTAGCACCATTTTCAGTATATCACTATTTATCCCTTCCTTTGTTCCGTTCTTTCGTGGTAGTTCCCTAACGATTTGTTCCAAATCACTTGCACTAATTGGCTCAAAATTTTTCATAATTCCCTTATTCTCAATTACATAAATTGGTCTCCTACCCGTGCCTTCTATCCCCTTATTACTAATAGATTGCACAATGTTGCTAATACTTTTTACATAATATATATTAAATTTATCAGCTATATTGCATCCTTCTATGTCTCCTAATATTTCAAAATCTACATTATTGATGTTCTCTGAACCCCTTTGCTCACCTTTAATTAATTCTTTTAAAGTTTTCCACATTTTTGTGGGATCACTCCTATTATTATCTATCATATTCTCATAATATTCTTTCTTTTTTTCCCTGATAAGTTTAACTACTGCATTTCTTTCATTTTTGAAAAATTCCCAGTCCTGTTCTTTACCTGAGTTTATTGCTCTACTGTGAGCCTCATCCCTTCTATCTGCTGCCATTCTAATTTCATCTGAATACCACATTTTCCCTTCCCATATTTTCGGAATCTTAAACTTTTTCTTAGGTGCTACAGTATCCAATACACTTACTATACTATTAACAAATCTCTCCGCCCTTATGCTTATATCTAGCCCTTGACCTTGCTCAGTTCTTTCTTCCATTATTCTAAGAAATTCATCTGCATTAAATTTACTATAGTCCCTGCCTCTAAATTCTTTATATTTATTTCTAACTTTATTTGTATTAAATTCTACTTTTAGCCATGTATGGTCTGTGATTTTAGGTTTCTCATTCACTTGTACCTTTATTTCTTTATTCGAAAAAATTAAATCTATCATCGTTCGACTATCTTTTGTAACTCTTGTTGGACAATCAACGTATTGCCTCATCCCTAGGTTTTGCATCACCGTTAATAATTTCTTTGTGTAAAATGAATCTACCATTATATTTATGTTAAAGTCCCCTATCACTATACAGTCATACTTTATTATTAAATCTTCAACCGTATCTTCCAAAAATCTCACGAAATCGCCATTTGACGCACTCGGCGAATGATACAGTACTGCTATCATACCTTTATACAAATTCTCTCTTATTTCTACCATCACGCACCAACAATTTGACACTATCTTTTTCTTATCAACTATTTTGAATTTAATATCATCCCTAACATATAACAGTACTCCTCCTGTGTTTCTATTTTCAGCATCACATCTAACTATACTATACCCCGGTACATTGACCTCACTATCCTCAATTTCTACAGTCAATCTAGTCTCGGATAACGCTAGAATCACAGGATTCACCCTCTTCATAATCTGATGTTGAATTTCGTCCTTATGCGCCAAGAAGCTTTGTGCATTCGTATACCAGAGTAAATCCGCTTCTCCCTGTGGTTGCTATTTTGCATCTTCCCAGCCGGCTCTTTTTTTCTCTTCCTCCAATACTTTCTTAAATGTCGGACATTCCGAATCTAGCGCCTCGTGTTCAACATTTATCTTCAAGTTGTACGTCTGATTCTTATAGGTACAGTTTACACACCTCTTCTTTGCCGTCGTACATTCATTCGCCTTATGATTTCCTGCACATTTATAGCATGTTTCCTGTCTCGTGCAATTCTTGGCAATATGGTAATAGCCCCAGCATTTAAAACATCTTCTAACACTAATATAATTAAATATAGGACACTTTCGCCATCCTAAATTTATTTTTCCTCTGTTTATTAGTGAATTATGAGTGCTTTCATCCACTTCAATTATTACGGATCCTTGCTCAGTATCCTTACTTTTTCCTCTTAATATTTTCTTCACTAGGTGCATACAGGATTCTTCGCCAATTCTGTTCTGCTTCTTGATTGTATCTATCAGTTCATCATCCTCCATTTTCATTTCTTCTCCACCAACATCAATTATTTTAATCTTTGGTTTCCTCTTCTGTGGCTCAGAGACCTTGACCTCCTCGCCCATTGCCGCTTGTACCGTCGCCTTTAGCTTATCCTTCTCTTCTTTCGACTCACATCCTAAGATCACTGTCCCTTTACCTCCCTTTCTTAATTTGGTAATTCCTATTTCCATCTTGGTTATATCAATTTTATCTTTAATTGTTTTCTTCGTAATTTCACTCTCTTGTTGTACTTTTGGTTTTATAATCAAGATATTTTCTTCCTTCCTTTCTTTAATCACATCGCTATATTTTCTTGTCGCTCCACCTGACGATCCATATGCCCCTTGCGTCAACATTTTTTTCAATTCTTCTATTTCCTGTTTAATGCCTCCCACCTCCTCACGGACTATTTCTTTTATCATTGACTTAATCTCCTGTTTACATGCTGCCTCATCTTTTAATTCTTTCACTGTTTTTACAAGCCAATCTATTTTTCTATCAATATCACTCGCGACTGCTACTTTATTCCCGCTGCTTGGCGCCGGACTCATTTTTGCAGGTGCCGTTGCTTTTTCTGCTGCTGCCACTGCTTTATTTATATCAGCTACTTTATCACCATCACTAATAATGAATTTCTCGAATGGGCCAGGACACGACACCAACTCGCGGTTTCTATCATAAATTTTGTGCTTAGATACACAACCTGGATGGTAGAAAAGCTTGGCACAGGACTTGCATGCTATCACCTCCGTTTTTATCGGCTTCTTACATGCCGAGCATCGATACTCGGCGTATTCCTCGTTCATTCTGCTAATATCCGCAGAGACAGTTAATTGACTCGTCACTTTAACACGTCACTTTCACACGTCAGCGTTTTATGTTCGCCGTCGATGTCTACCTGTCGTACGAGGTTTCGATGACCTCTGAACAAAATGCAGTTCTCGTGTCTATGTATCAACATATTCCGGCTAGATAACACTCATGGCTACCCCCGGTCTATGCAGATATTCGTTACACAACTTTTTAACACTCTCCCTCACTTCTAAACCACTCAAAAATTAACACTTTTACGGAGCGATGTTTCACACGTCTGCTTCTGCTGAGAGAAAGAGAGAGAGAGAGAGAGAGAGAGAGAGAGAGAGAGAGAGAGAGAGAGAGATACATGATAATAAAAATAGTTTATAAACAACAGATTGATATATAAGTTAAATATATTAATAGCTTAATTCATATTCTTGCCAATGCAATTTCGTGGGCCTTCCCCGAATGGTAAATAAGCGTAAGGAAGCCTTTCTGCTACCACGTTCGCGTTGAACCGTTCCGGGTCAAATTTATCTGGATCCGGATATATCGACGGATCTCGATGCAGCCCAAGCACCGGTATAGTTATTAAAGTCCCCTTTGGCAGGCGAACGTTCATTGTCGGTAAGTCTATTTCTTCGGTACAGGTGCGATTCAACACTGGAATAGGCGGATATTTCCTCAAAGTTTCTAGATATGTAAAAGATATTACAAAAATATATATATTAATTTCAAAATACAAGAATTTTATTTAAGTGTATGTAGAAATAACGAAATTTTTATATAATATAAAATCTTGCTCTTTTGTTCAAAATTGAGTAAATGGAATACAATGCGACGATACACTTGCCATTTACTACTTTGTGAAGATATGTCATTTCGTTCACAGCGCCATATGTCACACCACCATGTTTTGTCAACATTTCATCGATATCCTGGCGAACTTGATCTTGTATGTCATGATGTTGTGCTAATTCGTACAGAGCGAATGTTGCTGTCGTCGAGGAAGTTTCGAAACCTGCTATGAAGAAGATATAACTTTGCGCCACAGCTTCCTCCATAGTGAGTTTGCTTACAGTTGCTGCGGATAAATAAAATAACATAATTTTGTTAATAATTTTATGTAAAAATTTTTAATTAATTGACTTGCAAAACTGCTTTGCAAAATAATAATTATGCATATTTTTACGACACGTGGGAAAACTATTTATATAAAAATAAATATAAAGTAAATTAACATTCATGGGTTGCCTTCTTGTCATCATTGGGTTCAACATATAAAAATATATTAATATATTAATAAAATATAAAAAATATATTAATTAGCCCGTTTCTTCTAATAAATAAAAATATATATTAACATTTTACGTCGGTGGTCTTCTTGTCATCGTCAGGATCAACGTAGCCTCTCTCCATAAGTTGAATGAGCAGATTCATAAAGTCGTGCCTTACGATATTATGAATTTGTCTGTATTCCACATTCTCTCGAAACATATTCATGTAAAAGCTGGTGACTTGTCGGTCCGTGAAAGGAACGGAAAAGAAATCCATAATTTTCGGTACGAATATGAACAATGCAATCCAAATCGAGTTCATCTCCACAATTTTCTTTTCTTGTTTACGATATTCGTTATTTGGCTCCTCAATGCAATTAGATTTTATACCAAAAGCCGTTGACATAATTACATCTGTCGAATATCTATTGGTAAAATTGACACATTATTTCATGTTGTAGCAGATTCTATTAAATTTGAGACATCGGAAATGTGGAAAAATATGAGAAAAAGTTCATACAAATAAAGAAAGGTTGACAAAACACGGACACTTTAAATAAATGATATTATGAAAAAGATACAAGAATAGTCTAGATCCAAGAAGGTTTTTCTTACAAATATTTAAAAGAAAGATCCGTTATTCATGTATTACATTTTCTACAATAAAAATTTTAAAAATTATATTATGAAAATTCTAAATAAATGTTATTTATTAATTGCAATTTATTCACAATTGGAATGTTAAAAATTAGATAATGTAAAGTTTCTTAATCTTCCTTAATTTTAATAATAATATAATTTGAAAATGTCTGATAATACATTGAAATATGACAAATCCAAAAAAAAAACATTTTTATAAGTTAATTAATATATTGTGCTCTCTTTGATATACTTATACGTATGTTAAAACAAAATCACTTGTTATTAAAATACACAAATTTATTCTATACTTGAAAAAGAAGAAAGTTTATATTATATTTATATAAGAATTCTAGGTCACAGATTTTACTGACGGTTGAAAATTTCTTATACTCGTTGTTATCTAATCTATATAATTAGATAACAAAGTATATACTTGAAATATTTAATATATTGTTACGCCCATGCTGTGCGATTGCTGTGCGCTCGTGCCGTATCGCCCGTCAGACTCCTGGGCGACAGAAGAATATCGCAACCTGACGACGGGTTGCTTGACGACGCAGATTACTAACAGCCGGTTGTCAAATTTACGCTCTGGATCTCGTATTTGACAGACGTGTCTTGTTGTATTAGAGCAATAAATCCGTTCTTTTATAACACTAGAGAGTATCATTATTCTCGGTGACGGGGAAGCGCGGCGCGTTCGCGAGTGCGGTGAGAGTGCGAGTGCGGCAAACGCGTGACGAACGTAACAATATATTTGTATATTTATAATATATTTATGATATATTAATGACTAAAACTTATTAAACTAATTTTTTATGTTTGCTCTTCTGAATATTAAATATTATATAATGTAAAATCCTTTATTCTGCCGATTGTACGATTTAAAAATATTTTTTATAGTGAGATAAATCGTAATAGGTCGTGATCATTAAGAATTAAAGGCAGATGTAATTTATCGGTAATTATATTCAATGTGCAATATCAGTGACTGTATTAAAGCATACTGTTTGCGATATTTACTTGTCTGGATAATTTGCTTTCTGTATCGCTTATTGCGTTTGCATTAATGCATTTATATATGTATATATTAATCTATATTAAATATATATATTAGTAAACATGTGTTTGAAGTTGAAAGAGAAAGAGAAAGAGATTGTGTTATTCTTTTTTGCGGCCATCTGTGGCGGTTGTAATACAATAGGTTGCCGCGCATTCTACGTAGTTCGCGGAAAAAGCGCGCGAGCGGCGCCGACAACGTTGCGTCCCAGGCGGCGAGGCACGTGTTTACCGCGCATGCTTGAGCATGTTAGGAGGGGCGCGCAGCCCGGCCGAGCGAGCATTCGTTTCGCAGACATCGCGCATGGTACATCGTGCGTTACATACGGTCGAATCAAATACGTAATTGCGTCATCTTTTCGCGATAAAGTTGTGCGGTCGCTGAAATCTGCCTATTCGTGTGCATTAAGAATATAACTATTTATTATACATCAATTAACGTGGTTGATACGGACAACTACGATCGTCACCGAGAGGAAGCCAGTGAGATACGTCCCGGCGAGCCATGCCGGCACGTGAAACGAAGGAAAGAAGCCATTTTCTGGAATGTTCGAGAAAGCCTTTCCGTGCTGGATACTAGAAGTCATCGAGGAACTCATATATACTCAAGGTTAAACGCATCGAGGAACTCAGATATACTCAAGGTTAAACTCATAAATTCCAAGGTAACCGTTTGAGCACGGGCGTTAGAATTTCACCTAACGTTACTCAAGGGATCTGCAAGGGATAATTAAACCCCTGACGGTTACAAATTTGCAACTTGCTAAATTCAGAGAGCAAGTTTAACTCATTTAATGTGTAAATTTATTTCGAGTCATTTGTAATACTGAGCTCAGTCTAAAGTAAAGTCAATAATTAATTCTTCGGTTGCAACCATTTCATTTCATTTCAGTTACAATGAAAACCTTTATTTCTTTCTTTTGTGCATCTATTTCATTATAATTGATTATACAAATTCAAAGATTGATACATTATTTCAGTGATTATTTCAATTATGCTTGAAGTTAATTTTATATGCTGATTGATTTGCATGAATAATTGAACAGTCCTTTCTTGATATTACGTGATCTGTTTTATTTTGACTACGTCAATAGAAATTATGAGCTTACATACTATAAATATTTCCTTGATGATGAACCTGATTACATAACAAAGAAATGCATCAGTGAATGCAGTTTTATTTTGTCATAAATAAAAGGAAAGGACTGTACTATAATAACTATTGATTTGTTTCTTTTATGTGTTTTATACATTTATTGTATTTCTATTGTATTTTATATAATCTATGTAATAATTTGTTCACGAATACTTGGAAGGTTTTCGGGCAGTTTCTCTTCTCCTATGCAACAAATGTTGGTATTCTTTGTATAGTTCTACCCAATCTAGCCATTTCAAATTACATAAATTACTAAACGCAATCTCTTTCTCAATAAACGGATTCTTTATTATTTGTTCCTTCCTCATCTAATTCTCGAGTTCAGGCTTGTGCGCGAGCTTGTGCAAACAACATGTTTGTTAAACATACTGTATGAGTTCTATAAATATAGTATATAAAACTCATTCATTCATCAGTAGAGAATATAGACGTATACATCTATGAGAATATTCCATCTTATGCACTTACATAATTTTAACTAATAACCTCCTTAACTCTTCATTAAACAGCAATAAATGTCAAATTGATTTAAAAAAAAATTTTTATTGATAAAAAGAGCATTTGTTGACGCTGCTTAACCATTTCCTCTCCGATTTTTACATTAACAACTTCTACTTTGAATTAAGTAAACAATTTCTTTAAAAACAATTTATTACCTTGCAAATATATCTTTTATTTCGACGGAATCTCTCATCTGTGCTATGCTCTGCAGATACTTTGCAAGTTCTTCGCCACATTCCTTAACAATCGGGAACATCTGCTTTATTTTTCCCGAAGTGAAAGTAGGTGTCATTCTGACGCGCATATTTCGCCATCTCTTTCCAGGCATACAAAACAAATGGGCAGACAATGGGTCAGTCTTTTCATTGTAGTACATTCCGCGGTCATGGAAACTTCTGAATTCCTTTGTCAACACCACTCGGATAAGATCGGGATCAGCAATTAGTAAGTTTGGTTTATAAAGTGAGTACATTCCAATAGCGCGATGATTCTTATATTTCATGTAGACATCTTGGAAGAGAACGCCTATATTGACAGTTCCATTTAATTAATTCCGCGATTTTTCATTTTAAGCAGAAATACAATAAATAATACCGTAAAGAGTAAATTTCTAGTTTTATAAAAAAACAAGAATATTTGTAATACTTATAAATAAAAGTGACAAATAAGATACAATTGTTTTAATTTTATAATGCAGCAATTACAAATTTCGTAAAATATAACCTCGAAAAAAAAAAGTGGTAGTATTATACCTCGAAAAAACCTAAGTAACAAGTGGTAGACGTAATCTTTGTATCTCCAAAAATCTCGAAAAAATCTAAGCAGTAGTATTTTTATTTCCAAAAAATTATAACTCAAATGATACACATCACAAAATTACGTTAC